GGTGTAGTGTCCTTGTCCCAGTGGGGTCGCCTCGGTACAGTCAGTCGGTTCCTGTTTTCCTTGTGCTTCTTGGTGACGTTGCGCTCCTCAAGCGGCGAGAGGAGGTATGGGTTCTTCTGGTCCTTGTGGATAATCTTGACGTTGTTCATCTTCTCGGCGGTGAAGTCGGTTCCGGCCAATTCTGCAGTGGAGAGGAAGTCGTCGAGGGCGCCTTGTTCGGTGACGGAGCGCATCTTCATGTACGACGCCTCTTTCTTCTCGTTGGTGATGTACTTGAGGATGTTAGTATGAGTCGCGTGCTCTACTGGGTGCCACCCAGAACATTGCGCACTGTTCCTACGCATGCGCAATATCCCAAGCATAATCATCGTGGATTTAACACACCTTCTCGCCATTCTGACCGGTTCGCTCGATACCGGCGTTGAAGTTGCCCTTGCGCAGGTTGTCGCCCTTTCCCTTGCTGAACCTGTCGTTCATCAGGCTGTTACCCAGCCCGACGCTCTTTTTGGATTTCGCGAGCACCATGTTTGCGGTTGGAAGTGGTGTATCGCGTGGTTTGTGGTGTTTTTGGCCCAAATAGAGGGGTGAGTGGAAAGAGAAAGTTGCGACGGAAGTTGCCCCACCACGTCATTCACCGAGTGCCTCGCTAAATTCTTTTTCTGAGAAGACCCTTTTGTAAGCGCGCCTTCCCCAGACTTCCACGACAGCACACTCGCCACTTCCATACGACTTGTCCTCAACTCTCACATAAGCCGCCAAGATGCCTCGCCGAAAGTTCATGTGAGTCGAGAATTGTGAAGGCGCGTTTGGAGTACCCCGCTAACCCCGCGACAGCGATAAGAAGAACGCGACCAACTTCCGCCTCGTCCACCGCGCCCAAAATGACCCCCGAATCCACGACGAAGATGCCCCGCAGATGGTCTTCGCCGAGAGGGCCGCACCCAATCAACGCGAAACCGACGAGCCCGCAGGAAGTTCACGTGCGTCGCAATACTCAGCAGCGACGGGACGCAGCAAGATCAAGTCGAGACGCGAACTAGAAAGCGAATATGGCGCCCAAGTACGGAAGAACGAGGGTGAAGCCGCCAACTACGGCATCTACTACGACGACACCGAGTACGACTACATGCAGCACATGCGCGACCTGGGCTCTGGCAGCGGCGACTCATACTTCATCGAGCCCAAGGCGGAGAAGAAGGGAAAGCAAAAGATGGACTTGGCGGATATGCTGCGCGATGCATCGCTGAACGACAGCAGAAGCCAGGCCGATCTCAGCGTGAGCAGCAACATCAGCAGCGCGAGCGAACTATTCGGAGAAGACATGGCACCATCAGAGTTCGTGCGCAAGACAACCTACCAAGACCAGCAGAACATCCCCGATGCCCTCAAGGGGTTCCAACCAGACATGGACCCGCGCCTCCGCGAAGTGCTCGAGGCGCTCGAAGACGAAGCCTACGTCGAGGACGACGAGGACATTTTCAACGAACTCGCCCAAGACGGCTTCGAAGTCGACCAACGAGAATGGGACAGCGCCGACCTCTTCGACGACGAGACCGACGACAGAGACCCCATGGACCGCTTCCTCGCAGAAGAAGACCCAGGTTGGGAAACCGACGACACAATCAAAGCCTCCTCCCCCAAGCTGCGCGCTCAGAAATCTTCAGCCGACCCTACAGACCCATCCTCGCTCCCCGCTCCAGACGAAGCGCCTGCCCCCGCCGACGCAGCAGACATGGCGTACCTCGATGAATTCAAAAAGTTCAAACAAGACGTCAAAGCCGCCAAGCCCACTCCCGGTAACCCCCGAAACGGCGCCGCTGCCGCAACAGACAACCAATCTTTCATAACAGGCGCCTCAGCCCTAACAGCCGGCGGCCGCCACAAGAAGCGCAAAGGCGCCAAAACATCCACATCAGGATACTCCATGTCCTCCTCCGCCCTCCACCGCACAGAAGGTCTCACACTGCTCGACCAGCGCTTCGACAAGATCGAAGAAGAATACGCTGACGACGATGGTTTCCCCGAAGATGACTTCGGCTACGACGACTCTGCTTCCATGGTTAGCGGTATGTCCAAGATGAGCGGCATGAGCAAAATGAGTGGTATGAGTGGGTGGTCGAGTAGTGAGGCGCCGCCGCTACGGGGCGATTTCGATAGTATCATGGATGATTTCCTGGGGAGCCATCATACTGCCGGAAAGAGTGGAAGGAGGGTTAAGAAGGGGAAGCAGCAGAGTGGCATGGAGCAGTTGGATGAGGTTAGGAAGGGATTGGGTGCGCCGAAGGTTAAGCCGCAGGATAGGTTTAGTGTGTTGAAGGTCTAGGGAGGAGCAGCTTTCTTCTCATTTCGCGTTATGATATAGATGACTTCATGCATTTGCTGGCGTTTGGGATGGTGGGTAAAAGGGATCTGGGTCATAGGCTGGGACATGTTATACCCGTATTGCAAGTATACAGTGGAATGAAGAGATGAACGGAGAATACATTGCCAAAGTCTTAGCCTAGGTTCTTCAAGATGTAGACAGACAGTGAATGCCGACCATCTATCTCTTGAAGGACCTAGACTAAGACTTTGACAATATACCCTTCAGCGTTCTCATTCATTCGTTGATCTCATATACATCGTGACACCTCTTGTACGTTCCTTTTTCATACCATACCACGTCCAGATACTGATGTGAAATTCTCCATCCTTCGCTTCACTACCATACAACACGTCGTCTCACCCAAGCGGACCCTAAGCCTTAGGCTCAACACTGCTCTGCGCAACACCCCTCTGCAGCGCCTTCTTGCTAACAAGCCTGAATCCACCGACCAGCATAAGCACCGCGAGCGAGCCCAGAACAACAGCCAGCGTAACAAAAGCACCAATAACACCACCAACCGCAGGCGAGATATCGCTGCTGCCATTTCCACTCTGCTGCGCAGTAGTAGCGCCGTTGTCCTTGACAAACGCAGCGCAAGATCCAGCAGTGTTACCGCACTTAGTGCACCACTGCTCCGTAGTCGTAATAGCAAACTCATTCAGCTTGTCCTGGAAAGTAGTCCACGAGACAGCGTTCTCGCTACCGCCGAAGAGAGGGAAGACAGTCGGTTCACTGGTGTTGCTCGCCGTGCCGTTGTGGAACAGGAAACGAACTTGCAGATCATCTCCGTTGGGAAAACCAGAGTCGACATTCGCGTTGGTGAAGAGCTCGAAGACCATGGAGCTAGCGTAGTCGACTACACCGGTGAAGTCGTCGCTGACCTTTTGCAGGTCGGCGAGACCGAAGAAGGACATGAACGTGGCGTAGGCGCCGAATTGAATGCCGAATTTCTTGGAGCCAGAGGTGCTGATGATGTTGTTCATGTATTCCAGGATTTCTCCTGCGAGTTGCATGCCGGCGACTGCGCGCATGTTGTCGCTGGCGTTGTAGGCGAGACCCCACTCGTGGGCGTCGGCGAGAGTGCGGAGTTGGGTAAGGGTGGTGTTGGTCAGGGCGTCGGAGTTGGGGATGCTGGAGTTGTGGATCTCGGCTACGTGAATGGTGTCGTAGACTATTTGCATGCGTTAGTTGTGAACATGAGAGGTGGATCAGGGTGTACGTACCGACGTAGGCGTTCTTGAAGGACACCTGCTCATCGCTGACCACGCCGTTCATCGAAGGAACGATAGAGGAGTAGAAGTCCTTGGAGCTGGACGCCAGGTTCTTGTACGCCTCGCTGTCAAAGTAAGAGTTTGAGCTGGTCTTTGCGTTCTGGCAGCTCGACGCATCCTGCAGCCAGCCATTGTCCTCAGAGCCGGAGCCGGTCTCGATGGTGTTGACTGGGATGAGCTGATAGCCATCCATTGGCGCTTGTACGCTTTGGCCATTGGCAAGAGTCTGAACACTCTGGACAGGGGGATAAAGTCCCTGGAGGAATCCCATGGCTGAGTTCTGAAGGACATTGTCGACCGGTGCTTGAACCTGAAGCTGAGACAGCTTGACTTCATCCTCATTGATGCCATAGATCTTGGACTCGCCGGACAGGTAGCGTGAGCGGTAGTACTGGCCGGATGTGTAGACCTGTTCGTAACCAAGAGCAGTCAGGTTGGTGGGAGCAAGAGCCTTTGGCGTACGGTCGCCATGGCGGTGGAAGATGTAAGCTCCAAGAACGGTCTCAGCTGCCTCGGCACCAGCGAGCATAGAGAGAGCGGAAAGCGCGACAACAGACTTCATGGTGGGCAATTGAACGCTTGTCAACGAAGGAAGCTGTTCACGAAAGCGAGTGAAGCAATTGAACCCAGGTCAACGCGGCGAATCTCACGAGCAGAGGTGGGATGGGGAAAGAGTAGAAGCGGACGTCAGGAAGGACTTATACCAGCTATCTCGCTGCATGCCCCGCTGAGTAAGTAAACCAAGCTCGGGATTAAGCTACAGCAGCTAGATAGCAGGAGCCATCCGCCCAATCCGACGAGTAAACAGCTCATGGTGTAGCGGGGCGCTTGCCTGACAAGCATGGTTCTTTCCGAATCTCGCAGTTCGGGAGGGGCAGGTGTAAGTGGGGGTTAGAGCGACCCACTGCCCGCGACAAGCTTTTTCCGCGCAAAAGGTATCTTTGGCCGAGAATGACAGTCGCGCTGAATAAGTAGTAGTCAGAATGACGATATCAATCATCTGTCGCAACCGTAGAGTATCTCGCAGACGCCGCCAATTGGCACATCCATCACGGCATCTGTTCCCGTGCTCCAGAAGCCTTTCCAGTCCACTTCATCTTGTGCGCTAAATTGATATGCCGAGAAAGAGCTTCGTCGGCTGGGAGGTGCACTGGCTCTAGTGCCTTTTTCCTTGTCCTTGTCGTGTAGCTTGTCTGTGACTAGCACCGGGTCGCGTACTATCTGCCCAGTCATGCGATCGACAACGGCTATCTGTGCGCATTCATCGACGAGGTTCTCGCAGCTGCTCAGCGGTAGTGTGAGATAGCGCGTGTTGTAGCTTGCAAGGGCAACGTAGATGTAGATGACTAGCACCACCAGCCAGCATGGCACCGCAAGCGCCCACCACCGGTTCGGGTAGTAGTGGATGCCCATCTGATGCAGCATCGGAGCTGGTACATAGGCCCATAGGATGTACATCAGGAATGCGGCGGAGCTCCCCAGGTACAGAGCAAAGCCATAGTATTCGTATGTAGGCACTTTCGGCGAGGCCCGGGGTACCGTCGGCGCATGCCGTGCCGAGCTTGCGAGGTTCGTGGGTGTGCTTGTGCCTGTGGTATGCGAGCCCGCTCTCGTATATCCTTCTACATCGGACGAGTCTGGTGTTGTAGGCCTCGAGGTTGGACGGCTGAACGCGGGGCGAAGTAGCGAGGTAAGTGATGGAGATGGCGGTAGCGGAGTCGGGGGTCTGTTGTAGAAGGGTGGGAATAGCGCAGTCGCAGTATGTCGCGGGAGATGACTATACGATTTGGAAGTCTGTAGTGGTCGAGATGTAGGCGCTGGCTCATCTTCGTCCTCTTCATCTTCGCTGATTACGTCCTCCACCATGAACGGATCCTCGTCTTCATCTTGATTGTCCTCTACAGACGCCGCCTCGGAGAGAGCGCTATTCGATATTGGCGATAGAGGAGTTGCTCCTGGACGAGTCGCCGAGCGTGGAGGAGATGCTATGGTACTGTCCTCGCGACTCTGACCATCGAACGACCCCAAAGTAGGCAAGTTAGGGGTGGATTTCGAGTAGAACCCTGAAGGAAGGGACTCCCCTCTACTGTGGGGTGGCATGTCGTTGACGTGGTTTGGCGCGATGTGAACCTCATGCATTGATCGCGTGCTTGAGCCTCTCAATTACGCGTTCGCGCTAGCGGATGTGTTCCGCACCTGCCTAGGTTGCCAGCTATCTGCCCCGTGTAACAAAACCATCTCATCTTCAGCCCAACATCAACTACACAGATGGCTCCAAAAGTCCCAACAACGGCTTCCCCAAGCACTCTGCAGCTAATGAAACTAAGGAGATGCGACACTTGCTTCTGTCAACATACTCCGGTCGACTGATAAGACCCACGATCCGCAACCTGCACCTCCGTCTGGACGACAATCAATGCCATGAGCGCAGACTCCCTGCGAATCGGCCCATAATGGAGAGACTTCAAGCGAGGCAATACCGATGGCGCTTCAATGTCTGTTCGGGCTGTCTTTGTCAGCATCGCTGCTATCGCGGCTTCCTCGCCCAGTCACTCACATCGCTCACGAGCGCGACGTCTTCTCTGACGCAACAGACATGTAGCCATCAGGACGAACATTGGTATGCATGTTGCAAGAAGAGCGAGAACAGAGATGGTGTTATCTTTCGACCAGGTCATCATTAGATGTGCGCGTTGGTGAGTGCATCGACGTCTTCGCCGGTCTATCATATATGCTGGGAAAGCAGATTCCTGCCATAGTCCTCATGTTCAGATTTGGCGAAAGCAGCCGGTGTTTAGGATTTCAGCTTCGCATCGCGATACAGATCAGGCTAGGTGTGGAGCAATCCCATTTGGCAGAGGCTGAGCGTGCCGAGATCCTGAATGTACGAGGCTACACACGTTAGAATCTCGAATCGACGAGGCTCAGCATGTCGGAATTTGATTTTGAACAGGCTGCATGTGCCGAAATCTCATTTGAGCAGGCGCAGTCGTTGCAGTTTCGACGAATCAACCACCGGTGTGAGCTTCAAACCAGATTCTGTTATATACATTGCATATATCGGTAAGTACTGCAGATACCATTGGTTAGGCATGCATGCACGATGTGGCTGAAATCGGATTTTGCCTACAGGACCCAGGGCTGGCAGGCGCCATTCACGTGATGCAGTCCCTCACGTATCCGACAAGTGCCCCGCTATCAGCCTGGTGTTCAAACATTCTTCTTCTTCGCACACCCAAATTCACCCTCATTTCGATACCTCTGCGCGCGCCGTCCACCCATGTTGGATAACAGTTAACTTCACCGAACGAAACGATGTCGGGGAAAAGAAAATCACCACGAATCCCAGAACGCATATGGGAGATGCACAAACCCAACATTTTGCGCCTGTATCTTTCGGAAAACAGGCCTTTAACAGCTCCTGGTGGAGTCCGGGACATAATGCGCACTGAGCATAATTTCTTGGCAAGGTAAGTCAATGATATACCACTAGTCACAATGCAAGTGGATGCAGGTTATGCTGACGTCCCGATAGCAAATCACAATACGAGACAACACTGAAGAGATGGAACTGCTGTAAATACACCCCCGTACAAAATCGACGCACCCAACAATCATTGCTTAACAGCCGAAGAGTGTGTGGTCCACGGCCGGACGATGAATCCCGCAACCTTACGATAAGGATACCTTCTCCACATCGCTCTGTTCTAGAGTCCGCTCCACTCAATTTCCAGTCAGCTGGAATCTCGTCATCGTTTTTGGCCAGGGGTTGGTGCGACATGTCATCAACCTCTTTGGCTAGTATCTCGGTCCCATCATCTATGTTTCGTCACGAGATTGAATCTTTGCTCCACCGAGACCCCGAATGGCCATCAAATGTACCTCTGGATGCAAATGACCTGTTCAACTCAGCACGGAGCTTTCGGGACAATTTTCTGGCACGTACGACGGCCGTTTTGAACGTCCTTTCTGTACCAGATTTCGCGACTTCGATAATGCCTATAATCTCGGCCATATTCCCAAGAGCTACATCAACCGCTCATGTGGTCTTGCTCGGAGCTAGCACTGTAGTCGATGCTGCAGTCAGGAACATCTCTCATCCAAACACACTGCGACTCGTTCGTGAACAAAGCATTGATCACCAGATCATCTACATCATCTTACATCATCTTGTCAACCACGAAGATATTGCTCTCACGCTTCGTAAGCCGACAACCAAGCTCGAGCACTTCTTGAAGAGGGGCGTGACTTACTGCTTTTCTCTTGGACCGAAGTTTCTCAGCAGTATCATCGAATCTACTCCACCACCCTGGAATGTGGCCCTAATACAGAACATGTTTCGTACAGCATTGTTCCTGGGGGATGGACCGATATTGAGCCTTATTATAGACCTTAGCCAAGAAGATCTGGTGAATCGGCTGGTCTTGCTTCAAGGCTCCCATTACTATCCAGTACTGTACACGAGTTACTTTGGGCATGTCCTAGCAACACAAGCTCTGCTCGATCATGGCGCAAATCTTGAACTATTACAGGATCATTATGATCTTGCTAATATCGGGTCGATGCCGTTCTTTCAGAAGCCGAGTGCGGAAACAAGACCCCAAATCATGCGGCTATTGGTAAATCGCGGTCTCAAAATCGAGTTTAAGGCAGCTAGACATCTCATGAGGAGTTGCACCATGGATGAATTGCAGATACTAATTACCTGCTTCCTGGATGATAGCTTCGAAGTCTTCTTTGGTGGGGATGGCTTACCGTTAGTCCTGGATCGCGCCGGCTGGGATGACTCACTCTCCGAGACATTGAGAGTCATCCTGAAACAAGCGTCGGTTACTGGTACCCATCATCGAAAATCCTGGGACTCAGTATTGTCGGACGCACTGTCGTGTGCGATATCACGCAATTATGCGTTCGCAGTCGATATCTTACTTGGAACGGGGGCAACCCTGAATTCCACATGCATGATCAGCGCTGTTCAGAGTAACAATCTGAAAATCCTCGAAGATTGTTTGGATCGGGGTATAGACCCAAACATCATGATTCACAGTCGCACTGCGTTGAGCGAGGCGATCAAAAGTCAGTCCAGGGGACCCATACAGATGCTCCAAGTGCGGGGGTATATTTCTAAGCTGGCTTGTCAACCGTCCGCCTTTGTATCAGCCTTTACAGCAGCGTGTCAGATTGGTGATATTGCTCTTATAGACCATCTTCTATCACTACAGACCTTCCCATGGAATTTACCCGGGATAGCACGGTCCCTGGAGGCTGCTCTAGAAAGTAATCAATATCCCGTCGTGGAGAAGTTGATCAAGGCTGGAATTACGCCGACGATGCCATGTTTTGAATTAGCAATTCAGAACAAGCAGCTGGCAGCCGTCAATGTCCTGGCCGATTGTACGGGCTCATTTGCTCCGCCACAGATGAGACTCCCTTACGGCAGGGCCCCTACACACAACGATATGGGCATTCTCTATCACAACGCTATCATGTTTGGAGCCATACAATGGGGTGATAGCACAGTCATTCAACAAGTGCTCTCCATGGAGTACCCTGTCGATGTTTTATTTCGATTGGATCACCATCGGTTCTCTGAGTGGGATTTGGCACCGAAGTTGTACCCGCCCGGAGATAATTGGACTTGGTATTTGACACCTCTTAGCGCCGCAATTCTGAAAGGCAACAGAACAGCAATGGACGCTTTGATGGCTCATGGTGTACAAGCTGTGCACTTCAACTGCCAGCTTACATCTTACCGAACTCTGTTTTTGACTGAGAACGACAGGAACATGATAACACTGACCCCTCTTGCTGCTGGCGTAATAAGAAACGATATCCCTTTGGTTAAAGCGTTGTTGCGTCTAGGTGCAGATCCCTTCGACAACGGTGCTCTATTCGTGTGCGCCGTGCTCGACATACCAGACGTCGCTGCCCTGCTGCTTTTCGCCATCAAGAGTCGATACCCTGACGACCAAAGATCTTTTGGCTATGACGCCCTCTACCAGATCATACGTCGTAACAACATGCGGATGCTCAAGCTCCTCGCAAACGACTACAACATCATTGGGCCTGTCCAAGAAGACCGCGGGCCATTGACTTACCCCGATCAGCGACCTCGACCTAACACTATGTTCACCACTCCCCTTGGTGAAGCGGTGCGTCTCTATGCTGAAAGCAACGGCGTTGACGAAGCGCTTGACTTCTTCTTGTCTCAAGCCCAGCACCACAATGCTGTTGTATTCCGAGACTTACGTCGCGGTAACATGACCTGTGTACTCTACGCCATCTTTCTCAATTCTTTGAAGACAGTTCAGAAGCTCCATCAAAAGGGCGCGAGTATGTTCCCCCCAGCTCAAAGGAATATAACCCGAACGCAACTCCAGGCAGCAGCGGAGTCGGGGAGCACAGACATCGTTGAATACCTCCTAAATCAAGGAGTCAGTGCAAACGAGCCTCCCTCAAAACAGGCAGGGGCGACAGCCCTCCAGTTAGCGGCGATCACAGGAAACGTCAACATCGCAACTATGTTGTTAAAGGCAGGAGCCGACATCAACGCCCCACCAGCCTTTTTCAATGGCAGAACAGCATTTGAAGGCGCCACAGAACACGGTCGTATCGAGATGATGATCTTTCTCGTTGGCGAAGGCGCCGATCTACTTGCCAACAACAACGAACAATATCGACGCGCTATCGCATTTGCAGAAGAAAACCTGCAATACGCTGCGAAAGCTCTCGCAGATGACCTGTATGCAAAGGTCCTGGTGAGCCAACAAGCGGGATTCATCGGCATGAGTGAGCCATGGGCTGGATCTGAGATGCCGGATTTTGGGGCCTTTTTCCCATGAGTTCAAACCGTCGCATTGGGCTGCTCTTCTTTCTTATTACATACGGCTTTCATTATGGGTGGTGTAAGGGTAGACAATCTGGTCGAACGTGGACACTTTCGTCGCGCTGGCGTTTGGAGCACTTTCTTCAGTCCTTCTGACACTATTTCCAAGTGTGTTTCCTTGCACTGAGTAGTAATCGTGACATATACCCACTATTGAGTCTCTTCGTTGTGCACGTATCCTTGTGGCACCAGATTCCAAGAGTCATACCGAGACAACTCTAGGAACGATATCAATCATCCCTAGACACCGTCTGTAACACTCCCAAAGACCATCTGGCAACAGCCCTCACCGAAAACCAATCAACGTAAAGGTCGCACACACACAACCCTCATTGATAATCCGAGCAACAGTCTCACAGACCATAATAAACCCGAGCCAGGACAAGAGGCCTATTGCGCCTTCTCATATAACCAAAGACAGACAGCGGACGCCTGCATCTCCCCAGAAGAACCGCGGGTTTATAGTTAAAGGTGCAATGTTTGGCAATGGCTTCATGTACTCCCCTATGCCAACATCTGGGGTCGTGATGATCCAGCCATAGCTATACACATCACCTGTGTCCGCGATTTCATTGCTGTCAATTCGGCAACGACATAGCTCTGATTCGATCAACATGCGGAGGCTTCTCAATGCAGAGCTCGAATGCGCACGACGTAAAGTGTACTGAACACCCAGCACCCAATAAACACATCACACGAGACCTTTACGACATCCAGCAGATTGAATGCAAGTTCATCATCATTGCAGCACTGCCTAAATACCAAGACAGCAATCTACAGCTTACTAGCCTCCCCACTCGTCCTGTTAAGGTACAAAGGATCCCTCGGCTCAATCCCATACTGCCTACACAGCTCCTCACCCTTCTTCTGTTGCGCCTCAATCCTAGCCTTATGCGCAAGACCCCTCTTATTCTCATTCTTACCCAACTGCAACAGATGCACCTCGTCCGGTCCATCTACAATCCTCATCGTACGGCCACTCGACCACATCTGCGCAAGCGGCGTATCTTGACTCACACCCGCACCGCCATAGGCCTGCATAGCCCAGTCGATGACCTTGAGGTTGACCTCGGGGACGAGCACCTTGACTTCGGCGATTTCCTTGAGCGCGCCCTTGGCGTTTGTTTCGTCGATCTTGATGGCGGCGTTGAGGACGGAGAGGCGGGCGGCGTCGATTTCGATACGGGAGCGTGCGACGCGCTCAAGCATGATGCCGTGTTTGTTGAGGAGCTCGCCGAACGGCTTCTTGCGCTCGTCGTTGATGCGGGCGAGGAACCATTCTAGTGCTTTCTCGGCGGAGCCGATGCTGCGCATGGCGTGGTGAATGCGTCCAGGTCCGAGACGGCCTTGGATGATTTCGAATCCGCGGCCTTCGCCGAGCACCATGTTGCTGGCGGGGACGCGGACGTTCTCGAAGGTCACGTGGCCGTGGCCGTGGGGTGCGTCGTCGAAACCCATGACTGACAGCATGCGGTGGACGGTTACACCGGGTGTGGTGTTGGGGACAAGGATGACGGATTGTTGCTTGTACTTGTCGGAGTTGTTGGGGTCGGTCTTTCCGAGGACGATGAAGATCTTGCAGCGAGGGTCGCCAATGCCGGATGACCACCATTTCTGAGGGTTGTTAGTAACGTGGTGGGTGAGGGAGGGACGAAGATGAACTAACCTGGCCGTTCAGAACGTAGTGGTCACCATCCTTCTTGATAGTCATCTCAATGTTGGTAGCATCACTCGACGCAACCTGAGGCTCCGTCATCAAGAACGCAGAGCGAATCTCGCCCTTCAGCAGGGGATCCAGCCACTGCCTCTTCTGTGCCTCTGTACCGTACTTGGCAATGACCTCCATGTTGCCAGTATCGGGAGCAGCGCAGTTGACAGCCTCGGAAGCTGTCCGGCTCTTGCCCAGGTACTCAGCCATGAGGCCGTACTCCAGGTTGCTGAAGCCAGCACCCTCCTTGAAGTGTGCCTTGGGCAGGAACATGTTCCATAGTCCAAGCTCTTGTGCCCTCTTCTTCAGGTCCTCGATAATGGATGGATGTGACGAGAAGCGCTCTTGGACAGTCTGGCCAATCTGGCGAACGTATACGGCGTCGGCGGGGATGCACTCTTCTTCGACGAACTTCTCTACCTATGAATATGTTAGCATGTACTTGTTCAGAGCTTGCCAAGTCACCTACAAGGTCAAGTGTCTTCGCCGCTCTCTCGCTGACAAAAGGCCGCGCGATGACGGGAATGCGCTGAGAGGCGGAGATATGGCCATCCTTGCTGTTGCTAAGCAGATCGTAGGCGCGGTCGTACGGTACAGACATGATTGCGTACTGTGGAGAGAGGATGAGTTAGGAAGGACTGTCCAGGGAGGAAATCCGGGGTAGTTTAACAAAAGATGCGGAGAGACGACTCGTCCGTGGCTACTGCTTCGGTCATTGATGTTGGGAGCTAAGAGTTGCCGAGGTACGGCATGCACCACCTCCGCTTTGGACCTCGTAACTTGGCTGTCTCACACCACGCAGACGTGATGCCAAGGTGTCCGATGGCAAACGTATCTTAGAGAAGGGTATCGTTGGCCGAGGCATTGATGATAGTCATGTCGTTGTGGACGCTGCGGTTGTAGTTGGCGATAGCTGCAATGGACGCGACGCCACCGTTACGCGTGGCGCACAGTCCAACGTCCGCAAGAGGCTATGGAATCGCCAACGTGGTTGTTGGAATTTATACGGGCCATCACTCATCCAATGGTTGCTAGAGAATCCATTGAATCTAGTTAGAGAATCTCTTGACTCCATGATCATAACACGAGTATGCATTGACTAAGTGACTCATCGTGCTTCGGCAGGCACAAGCCTACCAGTCGAACATCTAGACATAATCCGCCCAACAGCCACATCTCCAACCCGTAATTACCAGCAATGACATCGCAGCCAGTTCTCCCCCGCGGACTCATCGATCAAATCATCACCACCCTCATCTCCCTCCATTCCTACGACCCAGTAAGAGTGGAGAAAGCAGCTATATACCATTACTTGCGTAAACACTTTCACTGGCAGCGGAGGGCTGTTTTGGCGGCTTATCGGAAGTATAAATATCCTCTCTTGTGGATGAAGGATACTGTCGAGGTCGTTATCGCGAACATATTGAGGGTCGTTGCTACGAAGCGTATTCTTCCAAACGCCCCTTTGACTTCTCACAGTTCATTCATCAAGGCAGTGAGAAACTTGGTTTGGCTCTTTACGACGAGTTCCATATCCTCGAGGACGACAAAAGCATGTTGTTTCAAGTCCCTGGTTGGGAGGCGTCTGACGTAGGGGATATAGGACGCACGCGTGTTTATGAAGAGATGATTGAGGAACGGCTGTTGACGGATATGTGGTTTGGATACCCTGATGGTAAGTTGGAGGACTATTGGCAGTTTCAGTACAAGGGCCTATTGTAGGACATGGAGGGAAGAAGGACGGCCAGTGATGACGTTCTCGAAGGGCGTTTGAGAGCCGAGAAACTGGATCCAGTGACGTTCAGGCTTTCGGAAGCAGACAATGAATGGTTTCCATACCATTAGTGAAGGGGTTCCGAGAGTTCTTTGCAGTTTTTCTCACGCTGTCTTATCCATATCACTTGAGTGAATGCTGACATTCCATCGAAAATTCTTAGAAGATCACGACTTGAAGTGTAACCTGACCCAAAGAATTTTGATAGTCAGCAGTGACTAGTCGTTGGGTCGGAGAGATACGTGAGCGACTCTGTTCTGATTCTACATCGCAGTTTTGAGACGTACGTGAAGTCGGGTATACGTTGTATAGATCTCATAGCAACGTCGTAGCAAAATGTGAAGGGTGCTACATCGTACAGCTTGTGATGAGGATAGACCTGTAACAGTGACATGAATCGCAAGGCTATAACGTTGCTCGATCCTCATTGCTGGGCTCCAGTTCCGGAAGGGTTGCTTGTCGCAGACCGGATCAAACGGGTATGTTGTAGGAAACGAGTAAGAAAATCTTGTGTAACTGCTCTTAGTGCCAAGACACCGGACTGTAAGTCGAAAAATCTAATAGCAGTGCTAGTAGCCTGGTAACATAATGTCAAAATTGGGAACGTGAGGGTTACAGTCCTGCTCGTGAGCGCGGATGTGTACCCACGGCATGCTTCCTACAACGACCAAAGGGCATCTGAGAAGGTCGTCCCGCCTGCTTGTGGCGTACACAGACACCAGATAGAGCCAATAATAGTCTTGGACGTACAAGTTGACTGACAGAATGGTATCATCCGCCCGGGCAGCTGCGTGTCGCTATTCTGGTGCAGAACCGGATGAATGCATGAGATGTGTGCGCTCAACCGTGACGATGTAACCAAGATGTTGAGTGAGCTGTTACGGATCCGACATGACAGCTGCAGACGAGCGTGGCGAGGTCTCCGGCCGATGTCGGTAGCCGAATACAGCTCGTGGTACAACCATCGTGCATACTCTATTGTCTTCATTTAAAATAGACGCTCATCCTGTACCGCATGGTTGCGCGCTATCAGCGATGAAAATCTCCGAGTATTCAACCATATAGGTGGACCGGCATAGTCCGATCGTCGGGTATGACAAGTCGGCCGGGTACTCCGTAAGGCTGAAGTCCATATGCGTGCTTCACCTGAAGTGTATTGGGGGTACACATCGTGGTCGCGCAGATCGACTCGTATCTGAGTTCGACAGGCTGATAAAGTCCAGATGTCTAGGTCTGCGTATTCTTGTTCGTCGCTTTACATATAGACTCCCGCCACCAGATCTGAGACAGAGCGGGAGGCTTCGTCACACAGTGTCGCTGTGGACCGATGTGGTGCTTCATGGCTTGATCTACGACGCCTCGGGGCCTGTAATCTATTTTCATGTTAGGAGTGGTTCGGGCCGTAGTGAGCTTGAGCAAACGTCAAGTGACGGATTCAAAGAGAGCGTGCTCGCGCCCAGCTCGGGCTGGAAGG